GGCTCAGGAATTCTGGGAGTTGAAGTCCATGAGTCATGAGGGGGCCATAGTTCCCCCATGCTGGCTCAGGAATTCTGGGAGTTGAAGTCCAGAAATCATAAAATAGCCGAGGTTGCCTACCCCTGCGCTAAGCGTATAAACTTGTATACAGCTTGGAGGTGGAAAATACACATGGAAATGGTGCTACGGTTGGTCAACATACTCGCTTGCCCAATCATTGTGCACACAGTGTAAATCTTAAGTGCCATTGCTATTTTATTTTATTATTTTATTGGCTAAATTTATTAAGCTGCCCGTCTCGCCACAGGCTAAACCTTGTGGGCCTGCTGCAAATATGCCAGCCTTCAGGCTTTGACTAGGCCGCCCTTAGTTGGTTTGCCTCTGTGCCCTGCCCCTGCTTGTGCTGAGCTGTTATGCATGAATGGCGTCCTTGTGAATGCACAACGCCACTCCACACCCGCCGTGGCTTCCCTGCAGCGGCCTCCCTGCTGGAGTTAGGTGCCCAAGAGCAGCCCCCCCTTCCCCTCCCCATCTGTTAACCTGCTTGATCTGATTTTTGAACACTCTGTATGTGTCCGTGTTGCAAAGAGCCGCTGCGGTTGACAGAACGCAGTCCAGATGCTGCAGTTCCCACGCTCCAGCGGAAAAAAAAGCGCAGGAAAGAAAGAGGGCTGCTCTGATCCTTGCCCTTTCTCCCGACCTGGAGGGCCAGTATATATATATATATATATATATATAAAATAAAAATAAAAATCAGGAAGAATCCAAGGCTTTTCTTTGAAAAAGGCGAGTTTCAGAGAGGGGTGATTTTAAAGGAGAATATTTCCAGCTCAAGGGTTGAAATGGCGGGTCCTGGGTGCTCTCTGAGCTGGGTGGTTTTTCTTGCAGATGTTTCATGCCCCAACTGGGGAACATCATCAGTGCTAGAAGGGAGGAGGAGGAGGAGGAGGAGGAGGAGAACTATGGAGTCCTTGATGCTTTAGAAAGGAGGAGGGGAGGAGGAGAACTGTGGAGTCCTTGGTCCTCTCTGAGCTTAGTTGTTTTCTTGCACAGGGGAGGAGGAGGAGGACTTTGGGGTCCCTCGTGCTCTGAGCTTGATAGTTTGTGGAGAGGAGGAGGAGGGGGACTGTGGGGTCCTTGGTGCTCTCTGAGCTTGTCTGTTTTCGTGCAGACGTTTCATGACCCAACTAGGGAACATCATCAGTGCTAGAAGGGAGTGGAATTTGTGGGGAGGAGGAGGAGAAGAAGAAAGGAGACGAGGAGGAGGAGGAGGACTGTGGGGTCCCTGGTGCTCTCTGAGCTTGGTGGTTTGTGGAGAGGAGGAGGAGGAGGAGGAGGAGGAGAGGGAAGCAGGAGGAGGAGGAGGACTGTGGGGTCCTGGGTGCTCTCTGAGCTTGCTTGTTTCCTTGCAGACGTTTCATGACCCAACTAGGGAGCATCATCAGTGCGCGTAAGGAGTGCGGTTTGCTGCCAGTTTATATCCTGGCCTCTTGCCCTGTCAGTGTCGTTGGGGCTGGTCTTAGAGATTCTTTGGCTGGGCTGTTGTCTCTTTGGCAGCTTCTCCATTGGGGCCTTGCTTGCCTCAATGCTGGTCTGATGTTAACCTTGGAGTTCATCTCTGCTGATCTGGGAGCTGATCGCTGGTGGAGAGGCCATTGTCTCTTCTGCACAGTCTGTAGATGTTTTTAACGTCTGTGTGTCTATTGATGGCCGATCTGTCAGAGGGCTTCTAGAAACTCCCTGGCGTTTCTTGGGTGAGGACCCCTCAGTTTTAGAATAACAGAGCTGGAAAGGGTCCTTGGAGGTCTTCTAGTCCAACCCCCTGTGCCCTTCCAGACAAATGTCTTTTCTTGAAGACCTCTAGGGATGGAGCGATCCACAACTTCTGGAGGCAAGCCATCCCACTGGTTAATTGCTCCCCATTATCAGGACATTTCTCCTTACTTTAAAAAAAATGGCCTTCAGTTGTGCTGGTAAGTCGAGTCTTGTGGCTTCTGTTTTTTCTGAAAAGCTGTGTTGGTGCCACAATTGAACATCTTTAGGTTAGGACAGTGTTTCTCAACCATGGCAACGTTAAGAGGTTTGGACTTCAACTCCCAGAATTCCCCAGCCTGCGTTGCCAAGGTTGACAAACACTGGGTTAGTAGAGTAGAGTAGAGTAGAGTAGAGTAGAGTAGAGTAGAATAGAATAGAATAGAATAGAATAGAATAGAATATGGATTAGAGTAGAGTATAATGGAATTAATAGAATAGAATATGGAATGGAATGGAATAGAATAGAATTACAGAATAGAATCGAATAGGGAATGGAATAAGAATAGAATAGAATAGAATAAGGAATAGAATAGAATAGAATAGAATAGAATAGAATATGGAATGGAAGAATGGAATGGAATAGAATAAGAATAGAATAGAATATGGAATGGAAGAATGGAATGGAATAGAATATGGAATGGAATAAGAATAGAATAGAATAGAATAGAATAGAATAGGAATAGAATAGGAATAGAATAGAATAGAATAGGAATAGAATAGAATATGGAATGGAAGAATGGAATGGAATAGAATAAGAATAGAATAGAATATGGAATGGAAGAATGGAATGGAATAGAATATGGAATGGAATAAGAATAGAATAGAATAGAATAGAATAGAATAGAATAGAATAGAATAGAATAGAATAGAATAGAATAGAATAGAATAGAATAGAATAGGAATAGAATGGAATATGGAATATCTTTATTGTCATTGTGTACCAACGAAATTAAGTATATCGAGACAAGGTCAGTTAACAGTCATTTCTCCCCCCCCCCAAAAAAATATATATATTGATGGGTACAGACTGGATGACAGGCCTTCTTTGTGGCAGCTCCCCCCCCTTTAAAATATCCCCTCTCCAGGCCTGCATGGTTCCACTCCGGCTTGTGTTCGGAAACAAACCAAATCAGTCGTATTCCCCTGGTTCATCACAAATGGTCCTCAGAGGTATTATGAGTTGTGTGTGTGTGTGTGCCACAATTGTTAAGCGAATCAGGTGGCCATTAAGCTTCCCCCATCGACTTTGCTTGTCGGAATCTTGCTGGGAAGTTCGCAAAGGGCGACCCCGTGATCTCGGGACGCTGCAGCCATCATCAATAACGCGCTGGTTGCCAAGCGGCCGAAGTTTGAGTCTATGACCCTGGGGATGTCGCGGTGGTCGTAAGTGTGAGGACTGGTGGTTGCCAATCCCCCCCTTTTTTATTGCTGTTGTGATTTGGAAAGGTCAGTAAATGAACAAGGTTGAAATCCTTAGCCTCCACCCCCCACCCCGAGCGTTTGCAGATTTGGGCAGGGTAGAAATGCTGTAAATAAATAAATCCTCTTATTATGGCATCAGGTTAGTGGGTTTTTCTTCCATCTTCCTCGGCCTTTGAACTTTGCTGTTTTTAAAGAAGGTGGTAGGAAGTGCTTTGACTCTCTCTGACGACACTGAAACCGCAGATGGTACTGGAATACCAATTTGCCCTTTCCTTCTTGAGACCTTTTTTAAATCAAAACAGTAATGCAGTGTCGCTTGGCTTGAGAGATTTTTCTGTGGATGGATTCCTAGGCCGTCTCCTTTATCAAACAGGATTTTAGGCCGTGGATATATTCGGTAAACCGTGGTTTAAAAAAAAAAAAAAGGATCCTAGCTTCCGAACACACGTGAATGTGAAAATCTTGAAATGCGGATCGAATGCCCAGGTTCGAATCTCAGAAGGGTATGTCTGGCTGATGAGAACTAAATAAAGTTCGAAATAGCTATCCCAGTACTCCCTTAATTCTTTGTTAGCAATCCAAATTTTGAGAAATATATATATGTATATGTATATGAATGCTTTTGTTTGAACACCCTGTCGGCCCAAATATGGGAAGGAGAAATCTTTTGCCTGTATCAGCTCAATCTAGAGCCATCCACAGGCAGCAGTCGCTTAACTGCGACATCATATGTGTTTTTCTCCTTACAATCCAAATTTTGAAAAACGTATATGTATATGTATATGTTTATATATATATATTTTTTCCCTTTCCTTTCCCAGCCAAATCGAGTAGGAAACTGACATTCCTATACTTGGCGAACGATGTCATCCAGAACAGTAAAAAGAAGGGACCCGAGTTTACGAAGGAATTCGAATCGGTGCTCGTGGATGCTTTTTCACACGTGGCCAGGTAGGTATAAGGCCTTCCTCACTTGTCTCTCTCTCTCTCTCTCCTCTCTCTCTCTCTCTCTCTCTCTCTCTCTCTCTCTCTCTCTCTCTGTGTGTGTGTGTGTGTGTGTGTGTGTGTGTGTGTGTGTGTACGGCTGCTGGTTTGCACCTGTGCTTTTGCCCCTGTGCTTTTCGTGGACCATCCTTGCAGTTGCAGTCATTCCAAAGGAAGCCGTCGTGACGTCGTGGAGGGGGGGGTGTCTCCTCCTGCTGCTGGAATATTTGTGTCCCGTTGTGTTTTCCAGAAAGCTTGGGCTGCCTTTCCATAAGGGCTGCCAGTTTATATCTTCCTCTGAAATAGCCTTTTGTCCATGGCTGTAGTAGAGATGGGAAGGGCCTGCCGAGTGTGTGTGTGTGTGTGTGTCTGTCTGTGCAGGCATGTGGTCTTG